GATTTGTGCCTCCTCTGCAGCAGAGCATTAGTGACTAAGAGCGCATGAGTCTTCCAAGGTCATTGTTGAACACATTGGGGACCTGAGGAACTGTGTGTCAAGAAAATGTAGCAATAAACATGTGTTCTGAATACAGTGCTCAAAAATAACCCTTGTAAAGAAAGTGCTTCCACTGTATGCAATTTAAGTCAGTGACAGTAAAATGTTTTGATCATGGGTACAACATTGGGTTAAATGAGCAAATGTTTTACTTTTGACCGAACAGAGCTCTTTTGTGCTGCAGAGTGGAGCTGCTCTTGTATAAAAGCTAAATCACTGAACCATGGTATACATTTGAAACCCATGGTGCTGCAGAGGCTTAAAAGTTACCATAGTGGTATTTAGATATGCTTTTAAATCCATTTAGTGGTCTAACTTCAGTTTACAGGTTGTTTCTAACTCTGTTATACCAGATACCGCCCTGGCTTCCTAGCTTCCACTACCAATGCCCAATAAAGAAACTGTCAGTTTGAGTTAAGCAATTCAGGCTAGAGTTAGAAAGGACTGTCATATCCATGCTAATTCATAAACCAAAGGCAGCAAAGAGTTTATTAAAGTGTTTCTAGCGGTTTTTTTTATTTTTTATTGAGGGATCTGGGCAAAGGTTTCTGTATTTGGAGATGTAGTTCAGAGAACAATAAATGGTTGTTGGTAATATTTAGTGCTCAAATCCATAAAGCAAAATTTTGAGAGTGACTCACATGGTTATATAATTTATTTAATTTAATTTTTTATTTAAGTTTTTTAGTATTATTATTATTTTAATTTTAACTTCAGTTACAGCATAATAGGGCAGCCAAAGATAACTGGTATTATTTTAAAATGTTTACAGATGTTTACATTTTATAATATACTATTCATCAAAAAGTTAATTTAATTTGTGTCCATTTTTTATTTTATTATTTTATATTTCTATTTCTATATTTCTATTTTATTTTATACTTATATTTTATTAGATTTGTAGTCATGAAAATGTATTTTAGTAAAATTTTCCCCCCAATTCTTCTATATGCATTAAATACTAAACTTAAAGCTGCAGTCTGTAAGTTTTGCCTCTTTGTCGGCATCTCTGTTTGAAACGTGGAATTGCAGTTATTTGCGGAATTATCTTCTTTACGCTGGTTGTGCATCGGCACGGCTCCTCAGCGTGGATGAATCTAATGTTTTGTGGCTGTGTGGCTGTCAGTCATCCTGGTGTGGATATTCACTGTACTTCGGAATTACAGATTCTACATCTTAATTATGTCCAAAATAATAATTTTCACCGGAAAATGTCATCCGAACAAGTAAGTAACGTGTCTGCCACTTTTGTTCTGACCAAATTAGAAAAAAAAGCATTACAATAAATCGCGCTATCAGTGGTGATTAAATCTAACGATCGCTTAGCTCATATCACATCAAACTGTGCAAATTATTATTGTTATACTTTGTTCTCAAATTGTTAATTTTAACAACATCAGCATTGCGTGACTACGTGCCTTCGATTTCAATGTCTGTAATCAGTAATCTTCATATAAAGAAATTGTTCTTTTAACCCAAAAGCAAATTAATGTTCCTTAGAACTGTTTCTCTTTGAAATACAAATCTTGTGTAATCCCACGTATCTGTAATCAGATGCACATTTAAAACTGGAATTTTTCTGTAGCCATTCCGCAGTCCGAAGTCTTTTGCTTTTGACCACTGGTGAATCTCCAGCTGTCACTGATGATTGTCGTTTAAAATTCGCCATCAAAATGATAAGTTTAATTATTCCAGCTGCTGTAAGAAAAGGCTATAGATGATCCGCCACCTGCAGCATCCTCACATGTGATATAGCTACTGGCCGGGACTCCTTCTTTATGTTTACAGACGTGACGTGATGACGCAAAGACGAACGGTGGCATGCTCATATTTCTTGCGAAAACCTACCAGTACCACTCAAATTAGAACACATTTTTTACAAGCTTACAGTTGTGAATCAGGCTAAAGTAAGGAGATAGTTTTGAACACTGGCTGGTTATGTACTTGCTCAAAAATTGATTTTGGATAATTTTTAACCAAAAAAAAGTTATGGACTGCAGCTTTAATTTGTGTCCATTTATGTTGTTATGTTATGGTATGTTATGTTATGTTATTGGTTCATTGATTGTTGTTTTTTGGAGCCATAAAAGTATTTTATTTTAATTTCTTTCACAGTTTTTCAAAACACGTTTTGTCTGTGTTTGTAGTGTTTTTGCTTTTAATTACACAACAATTCAAGATGCAAATGTGTGCCACGCTGCGAATGTGCTTTGCCATCTGAGGGAGCTTCATGAGAGCCTGATCATTCACTGTTAAAGCGACTAGCGATTTTGCTTTCGTTGACGTTGTGCCATTGCTGGAGGGCCAGCATCTGATCTGAGCTACAACAGTCAACTATTTGCTTCTGTTGCCTTTCATAAAGACATGACGTGGCACTTTGTAAAAGGGATGACTGTGGGGAGATGCCAGGTTGGCAAAGGCTGTGATGGATATGGTGGGTGGTGGCCCGGCTCTTGCCAGACTTTGAGAAGAATGATTATTATGCAGAGTCAACATTGCAATGTGTGCAGTCGACGCACATCAGCACAGAGTCAAACCAAAAAGCCGTTGCCTCCAAATAAGCCACTTGCGATAATGATCTCCTTTGTTTTTTGGCTAATTGCGAATGTGCTGTGCATTAAAGAAGCGTGTAGGATTTTGTCTGTTTATGCAGAATAGGTAAGATAGTCAGCTGTGTGAATTATTGCTGGCTGAAGGTGGTACAGTGTGCGGAGAAGAAATAGGGGGCATATATCAGTAAGAGCCTGTGGTGTTAGATGAAAAATTCTGTCTTCTGCGCTATTCCTCTAGATGAACGGCCCCGCCATCAGTCATCTGCACAACCCCTGAGATATCTTATTAAAACTCTAGCTTGTTCTTGCTTCTGGTGTTGATGGGTTCATGTTGCTTCTGTTTGAATTTGTTTGAAAACAAACCGCAGACAAATGCTATATCCTGCCAGCAGCGGCGGAGGGAACAATGCTAGCTGGCATCATGTTATTGTGCACATGTTCAAGTAGATATTCCTCAAGTCGAGACCAATTTAACTTGCCTATGGCAACTGTAATGAGATTTTTGATTGTACCACATCAAAGGGACCATTTGAGTGTGCTGAGTTATGTTAATAATGTTGGAGGTAATTGCACTACACTACATGGTGACCTTTTGTGCTCGTGAGCTGCCGATAATTAGCTAGCCTATTCACTGTAAAAAATGATATGATGAAAAAGCCATGACAACTTATGTTTTTAAGTTACTTTAACTCATAAAAATAATGTAAGCAATTTCAACGTTTTTTTTATAAGTTATACTAGATTCAACTTGATTTTTTAAGTCAGTTTAATGTTACTGAAATTCAAAGAGCCCAATTTAGTTCAGTGAACTTAACATTTTAAGTTGTAGCTTTTTGGCACTAACCGGCCAAATCTCTGAACATGGATTCATGCGCAAGAGTCAAATTTGTACATTAATTTAATATCAGAGTCCTTTCCAAGAAAAAAAAATATTCAGCAAATCTAGACATTAGACTCATGTTTGAAACATGAGACATCGCAGTGCAACATCAAACAAGGAGACACGGGCAGACTATACAGCGAACTAACTAAACCGCGGAGGAATTTCAGACGAACAACTCATGAACTTGAGGAAGCGGGTTATGAGGCTGTTGTATAGGAAATGTCTTTGCTTGTGTGTGTGTTTTTTACAAGTACATTTAAGTTGAATAATTTGTTTTGTTTTTTTTACAGGCACACGCTTGTGAGTCTGAGACTTGATGAAGGGTAAGTTTTGCATTTATGTACTAAATAAAGAATATAAACCATATCTTATTAAGA